GATCTTGTGCAAAAAGCGTGAGGATCCATGAGGATCCGTGCTTCAAACCAACGTTTTTGGGCCATGGATGGCCAGGAGCCGTGGATCCGAGTTTTTTGTGGTGCAGTGTGCCCTGGCATGATGTGTGATTTGACAGGAGTTTTGGCCCAATGCAAAAAGCGTGAGGATCCATGAGGATCCGTGCTTCGGAACCACGTTTTTGGGCCATGGAGTGGCCAGGAAGCCGTGGATCCGAGTTTTTTGTGGTGCAGGCTGTGCCCCTGGACATGATGTGTGATTTGACGGTGAGTTTGGGGTGGCCCAATGCAAAAAGCGTGAGGATCCATGAGGATCCGTGCTTCAAAACCACGTTTTTGGGCCATGGAGTGGCCAGGAAGCCGTGGATCCGAGTTTTTTGTGGTGCAGGCTGTGCCCCTGGACATGATGTGTGATTTGAGGGTGAGTTTGGGTGGCCCAATGCAAAAAGCGTGAGGATCCATGAGGATCCGTGCTTCAAAACCACGTTTTTGGGCCATGGAGTGGCCAGGAAGCCGTGGATCCGAGTTTTTTGTGGTGCAGGCTGTGCCCCTGGGAATGATGTGTGATTTGACGTGAGTTTGGGTGAATGCAAAAAGCGTGAGGATCCATGAGGATCCGTGCTTCAAAACCACGTTTTTGGGCCATGGAGTGGCCAGGAAGCCGTGGATCCGAGTTTTTTGTGGTGCAGGCTGTGCCCCTGGGAATGATGTGTGATTTGATGGTGAGTTTGGGCTGATCTAGTGCAAAAAGCGTGAGGATCCATGAGGATCCGTGCTTCAAAACCACGTTTTTGGGCCATGGAGTGGCCAGGAAGCCGTGGATCCGAGTTTTTTGTGGTGCAGGCTGTGCCCCTGGAATGATGTGTGATTTGACGGTGAGTTTGGGGTGGCCAATGCAAAAAGCGTGAGGATCCATGAGGATCCGTGCTTCAACCACGTTTTTGGGCCATGGAGTGGCCAGGAAGCCGTGGATCCGAGTTTTTGTGGTGCAGGCTGTGCCCCTGGGAATGATGTGTGATTTGAGGTGAGTTTGGGTGAAGTGCAAAAAGCGTGAGGATCCATGAGGATCCGTGCTTCAAAACCACGTTTTTGGGCCATGGAGTGGCCAGGAAGCCGTGGATCCGAGTTTTTTGTGGTGCAGGCTGTGCCCCTGGAATGATGTGTGATTTGACGGTGAGTTTGGGGTGGCCAATGCAAAAAGCGTGAGGATCCATGAGGATCCGTGCTTCAACCACGTTTTTGGGCCATGGAGTGGCCAGGAAGCCGTGGATCCGAGTTTTTTGTGGTGCAGGCTGTGCCCCTGGGAATGATGTGTGATTTGATGGTGAGTTTGGGCTGATCTAGTGCAAAAAGCGTGAGGATCCATGAGGATCCGTGCTTCAAAACCACGTTTTTGGGCCATGGAGTGGCCAGGAAGCCGTGGATCCGAGTTTTTGTGGTGCAGGCTGTGCCCCTGGGAATGATGTGTGATTTGATGGTGAGTTTGGGCTGATCTAGTGCAAAAAGCGTGAGGATCCATGAGGATCCGTGCTTCGGAACCACGTTTTTGGGCCATGGAGTGGCCAGGAAGCCGTGGATCCGAGTTTTTTGTGGTGCAGGCTGTGCCCCTGGGAATGATGTGTGATTTGACGGTGAGTTTGGGGTGGCCCAATGCAAAAAGCGTGAGGATCCATGAGGATCCGTGCTTCAAAACCACGTTTTTGGGCCATGGGGTGGCCAGGAAGCCGTGGATCCGAGTTTTTTGTGGTGCAGGCTGTGCCCAATGATGTGTGATTTGATGGTGAGTTTGGGCTGATCAGTGCAAAAAGCGTGAGGATCCATGAGGATCCGTGCTTCGGAACCACGTTTTTGGGCCATGGAGTGGCCAGGAAGCCGTGGATCCGAGTTTTTTGTGGTGCAGGCTGTGCCCCTGGACATGATGTGTGATTTGACGGTGAGTTTGGGGTGGCCCAATGCAAAAAGCGTGAGGATCCATGAGGATCCGTGCTTCAACCACGTTTTTGGGCCATGGAGTGGCCAGGAAGCCGTGGATCCGAGTTTTTTGTGGTGCAGGCTGTGCCCCTGGACATGATGTGTGATTTGATGGTGAGTTTGGGCTGATCTAGTGCAAAAAGCGTGAGGATCCATGAGGATCCGTGCTTCAAAACCACGTTTTTGGGCCATGGAGTGGCCAGGAAGCCGTGGATCCGAGTTTTTGTGGTGCAGGCTGTGCCCCTGGATGATGTGTGATTTGACGGTGAGTTTGGGGTGGCCCAATGCAAAAAGCGTGAGGATCCATGAGGATCCGTGCTTCAAAACCACGTTTTTGGGCCATGGGTGGCCAGAAGCCGTGGATCCGAGTTTTTGTGGTGCAGGCTGTGCCCCTGGACATGATGTGTTATTTGACGGTGAGTTTGGGGTGGCCCGATGCAAGAAGCATGAGGATCCATGAGGATAGTGCTTCAAAACCACGAACAAGGTTATAATATAAAATTTATCACATGAAACAAGGTTATAATTTGCTGATAAATTTATTGTTAAGAATGCATTGTGTGGGAGATCGGGGAAGTTCGATAGAAAGTTGAAAAAGTTGTTGAAGGGTTATGATTCTTTTTATCTTCTTTTTGTCTGTTTTCTTTGTTCTTTTTCTTCTGTCTATGTTTGAAAAATCTTTTAAAAAAAAACCCACGTTTTTGGGCCACGGTATGGTCAGGAAGCCGTGATCCGTGATTTTTGTGGTCAGGCTGGCCTCTGGACATGATGTGTGATTTGACGGTGAGTTTCGGGATGATGCAAAAAGCGTGAGGATCCATGAGGATCTGTGGTATAACATTTTTGGGCCACGGTTTCGCCAGGAAGTCGTGGATCTGTGATTTTTGTGGTGGATGCTGTGCCCATGGCCATGATGTTTGATCTGATGGTGTCTTTGGGCTGATCTAGTGCAAAAATCATGAGGATTCATGAGGATCCGTGCTTCGGAACCACGTTTTTGGGCCAGGGAGTGGCCAGGCAGGTGTGGATCCGAGTTTTTGTGGTGTAGGCTGTGCCCCTTACTATGATATGTGATTTGACGGTGAGTTTGGGTTGGCCTGATAAAGAAAGCGTGTGGATCCATGAAGATCCGTTCTTGAAAACCACGTTTTTGGGCCACGGTTTCGCCAGGAAGCCATGGATCCGTGATTTTTGTGGTGGATGCTGTGCCCATGGCCATGATCTTTGATCTGATGGTGACTTTGGGCTGATCTAGTGGAAAAAATCATGAGGATCCATGAGGATCCGTGTTTTTTAACCATGTTTTGCGCCCCTGCGCCCCCCGAAACAGTGGATGCGTGATTTTTTTTGATGCTTTCTACAGAGTAGACATGGTCTACAATCATGGTGGTTTTATTTAATTTGAATGAAAAAATCATATGAATTCACGAGGATCCGTGTAGATCGCCTTTACCTTTTTCCAACAGAACTTACTGCTCAGGTTCTGTTATAAACAATTGCCTACATTTTGAATGTGCTATGTGTTACTAAAATATACCAATTGTTCCCATAACCCTTACCTTTCTGGAATCCCCTGGCTTTTCCTATTTGAATGAAGTCAGGGTTGAAAGCTGTTGGTTAATATGCACTTTTGCAACCATGATGCCCTTATAGTAATTTCGAAATCGTATTAGCGGACATTTTATTATAATTCATTATTTACATCTTCTTTGGCTTCTTAAAGAGCATCATGTACTGAGTTACCATCTTGTCGTCTTCTCGCTTCAGATCCACGTTTATCTAGAGGAGAAGATTGTGCAGGGGATGGAGAACAGGTTTTGGCATGACCAAACTCTGGCTTTTCCTTTCCATAGTATACTGTATTTTATAACATCTTAAAATACATTCAGTGTTGCCGCAAAAGTGAACCACCACCGAGCCATGGCAGGAGTTCGAACTCTACAATCTTCTTGATCCGTTAGTCAGGCGCGTTATCCATTTGCGCCACTGGCCCAGCCCGCGAGAGGGGTTTTGTAAACAACGCCAAGCCATAATAAACTTAAATGATAAATCCTCTATTTTGCATCCACAGTCTGGTTCTCAGCACATTCTGGACCACGTTTCACCCTAGTTTGTTAACTCCCTGTGTGCACTCAGGGTAATAATAGGCTGTTTCCTCTTTCCCTATCCGCACAAGGATCCACCTTCTCCACCCAGTAGGTAGCACGCAGGAGTTTCAAGTGCACGATGCCAGGGAACGCATTCAAAGCCCGCGAGCAACGCCAGCCTTTGCAACTCGTGCACGCCTGCGACTTCCAGCGCCACCTTGCGCTTCCTACATGCAGTCCTAACTTCGGCTTACAGCGAGCCACTTTAGCATGCATTCTTTAGCTTCTCTTGACAACCAGCTCGCCAAGTCCCTTCGATAGCTCAGCTGGTAGAGCGGAGGACTGTTAGAAGTGATCGGCTACTGAAATCCTTAGGTCGCTGGTTCGATTTCCGGCTCGAAGGAGGCGCGTGTTTTTTCCTCCTCGCGCAGATTAACTGTTTTATAACAAAATGCAATGGGCTCCTCCATTTCGGAAGAGGTATTCACGGAACCGGATTTACGGGTAAGTTTTGGGGAAGGAAATAGCGTTAGCGGCAGCAATGGTCGCCGTGTTATTCAGTGCCGTTGGATCTTAAATTGATCTCGCTTGCCAACGACGTTTAAGTCGAAGCAGAGCTAGGCCCGGAGTAGTGAGCAATGGTGCCTCTGAGCCTGTGCAGAGAGCAGATTTCCCTCAGCGCTGAGCTTACAGGTGGTAGGTGGAAGCAAAAATTTCCACCTATGGACTCCAGGTTCGTCCCAGCACGCACGCACCCTCTCCCAGTTAACCACGTGGTATAAATGAAAACACCAATCCAAACGATTTATTAAATCAATTAAAAGCTCAAGTAAGTGGTTTGTGGAATTTTATTTATGCGCCCCGCGCCCCATCGCTAAGGTTCATTGGCTTTCACTATTTCGGTCGTGGAGGTACTGGGCTTGATCTCCACTTTGCCCTGCCTATGCTTAATACCTATATGATCTGAGCTTCAGCTGCAGAGGCTCAAATTTCTGGTCAAGCTGGTTTATCTTTAGGACAGAGTTATAAAACAAGCCACAAGGGGGCTTGGGGGCAGAAATGTTTTCGTTTTTGCCAAATAAAGTTGGATCGGGTTTTTTAGTTGCATACTTTTACAAGGCACTGGAAAAAAATGTGGTGTTTTGCTGCTTCCTTAAAATGATTTTAAAAGGACATTTTTCATTTCATATGGTTCATGAGTCTTTTCAATGAACTTCATGTGACCATGTATGTGGGTGGAAAAGAAATGGAGGAGAGGTGTGCCCGAACTGCTTGCACTGGTGATGGCAGAGTTAAAAAGCTCTTCTGATTTCAGGCCATGGCGTCAGCCTTTCCCAACCTGGTGTCCTCCACAGATTTTGGACTACAGCTCTCATCATCCTTGACAATGTTGGCAGGGGCTGATGGGAAGTGTAAGTCCAGAATTGTCTAGAAGTTCTGGTTGAAAAAGGTTGCCTTAGGACTAGACTAGGCATGGTGTGGGCCACTCTTGGGTAGTGTTCCTCCCATTGTGAATAGCAGGTGTGGTGTGTGCGTCCAATTCCAACTAGGGCTGTGTCAGGGCAAAGGGTTCCATCTGGTCTGATCTTCACGCACACTAGCTATTTATTAAAAACCAGCTATGTAAAAGGGAACTACTTGTCTAGGTTGGCCTTTGGGAGAAAGGTGCACCATAAAACAAAAGTTCATTAGGAGAGAGTACAGTTTGAGCCAGATGTGAAACCCCTGGGGCTCGGCTAAGCTCTGAAGTTGTCCATTGCTTTCCCCAATAATACAAATTATGTGCAAATTATGGCTGGTGAGTGATTTTTAGCTGCCCCTTAATCAACAACACTGGTCCACTGTCCACTCACCAGCCATAATTTGCACAGGGTTGAGTCTGTTTGTAAACTGGGAGCTATTTTAAGCAATTCATTGCTGCACATGGTTACCTCATTTTACAAGTTGCTCTGGCAACTACCTTCTAAAAATTGGCAGTTTGGATATTTTTAGGCAGTTATTCCTCTTTTCAAATCGGTATCTTATGTAAAGCACCTATATATGCTTGGTTCTATAGAGTTGGGGAGAGGACACCCCCTTATGCATCCTTGCCTGCAAATTTAAAATTGACTTAAATTTAAAATAAAGATTTGCACCAGAGGTCCTGACTGGCTCCAACATAGGAACAAAAATAATGTAAGGAAGAAGACAACCAAGGCTGAGAAGCAAGCAAAACAAAGAATATGAATTAAATGAGGCCATATGAGTCTAAATGAGAAAGGGCATTAACAAGAGGCAGCAGTAGACATCATAGATTGAGAGAGAAGGGATGCAAAAGGCAGCAGAGAACTGAACAGTCGAAAGCATGAAGAACTCAAAAATGCTTTGAAACTCAAGGAGAAATAATGTCATTAATATGAAAGAAGATAATGTTCTGAAAAAGGTAGAGGAAGAGACTCAAGTTTATAAGTATATTTAATATGTTTCATAGCAGGAGGAAAGAACAGTTGGTGCATGTGTAACTCTTGCAATCTTTATTGTTCATGTTTTATATTGGACAGCAAAAGTCAACATCAGTGTACACAGTACATTCTGAAACGAGTACAGCAACAATTCAGAAGTATAGAGTGATGTAATGGAGACAACGTGTTTTATATTTCCAGTTATGCAAGGTTCATTTGTTACCAGTCACTTGATGTGCTTCTGAAATAGTGAACACATCAACACAGATGATTAACAAACAAGCCGAGCTATGTGATGAATGATAAATGATGTTGCCAAATAACTAACATATCAAATACTGAGTTTAGAATATCGAAAATGCATCCTATTCTTGACCTCTTACAAACGATAAGACTGCAACTGTAACAACTGATTGGTTCCACGCATATCACTATATTTGTTCTCAAGGTAGTATTCTGGCTTTTTTTCATGCTCTGGATTCCTTCCATTCTTCAAATGAACAACAAGTTTCCAGCCTAATCCTGTGCACATTTTACTTGGATGCCAGTCTCACCAAATTCACAAGTAAATTCTCAGGTAAGTGTGCACAAGGTTGCAGCCATGATTCTGTTTTGAATTCATCAACTGAAACACTTGCTTCTATGCTCTCTTCCATGCGTGGCACAGTCCAGCTCAACTGAAAGCATCTGTATGTACACTGAACTACATATTCTTCTATTGCAAAATAAATCTCAGCTATCAGTTCACAGTTAATCAGTGCTTGTCTGCATTCTTACATATAGTTCATAGAAGCAGGGCTGGTTCAACCCCATTCCCTAAGAAGTAGAATGCTCCAGGAATGGCCTCTTTACCAGGTTTCTCACTATCTCTGGGCAACTTGGGTTTGTTTGTTTGTTTGTTTTTCCTTTTCGCTATCTGAAATTTATGATATTCTAATGGTTAGAGATTTTCTTTAAAGAACATGAAGCCCTTAATTAATTAATTAATTAATTAGGTCCTAGGGTAAAACAAAACCATTGATGACATGGACTGCTCACATACATCAGATAAACTTAAATTTATAGATTATGCACAATAGGAGGATCGGGCTGTGTACTTATGAACACTTATCTGAGAGTAAATACCATTCAACTTCTAAGTAAACACACTTCAGATTGGGCTGTATGAATGTTTTTGTGAGCACAGCTGTGTATGTGTAAATTCTGTTACTTCCCATTTGCCATGCATGCATCAAGTGTGAATACAGGGTTGAAAACTATGGTTGCTAGTTGCAATTTATTTTGCAGTAAAGATGGCTTGTGCTCAAAGGTAGCCTGCTGATCCATCAATGGACCATGCATGCCCAGAACATGGATATAGAGCAGGCTTTTCATCTGGTGAAGAGAAATACGATAATCTTTGAACTATTTACAGTTGCCAGTGTCTACTGGGAGTCTCTAACTGGACACCAAATAAAGTCAATTGTTGCTTAGAACTGAACCCCAGCAGACCTGAAAGCAGTTTTATGTATTATTTGAATTGGTGCCTAGTCCTTCTTCTAAGGAGCTGATAGAATCATACAATGATCCTCCATGGATGAGATCATTTAAGCCTTACATCTCACTTTGCACATACATATATTCACCAAATGGAACAATGGTTCCTCTTTCCAGTAACTAAAAAGATGACGGAAATGTACAATGGCTCTGAAAATATTTTAGGCTTGGGGGGGGGGAAGTACACTAAGGCTCATATGGTTGAAGTCCTGTACTACAGAAAGAATCTGACAGGTCTACCAAGGGCTCGTCCACACTTTTGTTTGTTTGTTTGTTTTCCCAGGGGAAGCAGCAGGGCAAATGGAAGTGTGGACCAGCCGTAAGTTCTAACACTCCTAGGATTAAAGAAGAAACTATGTCCAACTCACCTTTGTCTAAAACACAAATCAAGTGCAATTATGCAGAAGACTAGGGACATTTTCACACATGACACTAGAACAGCTTTCTATATCTCTGATATCTCTAGCACGCGTACTCGTTTAAAAAAATGGTTATTTCCCACTTTATATTCCTTGCATACATGTACAGAAACACACCTGATTTGCTCAGATAAGCTCTTACTGTGTTATCCTATGCGTGTTCTCTCAGAAGCTGGTCTCAACTTCAGTGGGATTTGTTTCCACCTAAGTGTGCACAGGAGTGCAGCAGTCCTAGTGCCATATATGAAAATGTTGTAACAGTACAGTACTTTACAATCCGTAACTTCTTTGGTGACTGTCAGACTCCAATGGCTTCTAGTTTATGAATCGGTGCGGTAGCTGCGACGACTGTCTCCAATAAGCTGCTCTCAATAAGCTGGGTTTTCTCAGTTGCATTTGTCGGCTGAAGCAGAATTGGAGTTTCCCCATCTAAAACAAAGGAGAAATCAAGCATTAACAGTCTCTCTGATCTGTTGTCCAAGGTATGGAAAACTGACCTTCAGCCAGGAATGGCTACTTGCCCACCTATGACAGCCGTCATATATAGGCACAAGTCAACCAAGGTTAGTCATTTTAAAGTCCCATTGGGAGAGAAGTAAGCAGTTGCTTAAATTCTTACATTAAGTGAGGGGACAACAATGAAGTCCATTTCAGAAAGGCTGGAGTTTAGATGAATGAGGCCACTGAGCCTGGAGCTGGAAAATCCACTCCTTCCCAGCTCTCAGTTAAGCCCTAATCCCTGCAGATGTTTTCATGTACTTCCCCCTTCTCCCAGATGGTCCCACAGACAACTAGCCAGCATGTAACTTACAGCAATTATTTAGTAGCATGAGGAGCCCTATGTCTGGAAGCACTCCAAGAACAATTGTCCAGATTCAGTTTCCATTTACTGGTATTTGCTCATAAGCAATCTGCATCACTGCTTTCAAGCAACAATTCAGAACCTCCACAGCTTTCCCCAACCAGGACAGTAAGGAGATGGTACTATACTCCATCTGCAATATCAGT